ATAGAATGTATGGTGCTTATCACAGTCTTATTTATTAAAGTCCCCTGGGAGTTACTGTTCCGAATTACCAACCAAATTGTACGGGGTTGGAATTGGGGATCGAAACACTTGGGCTCACCTGATATCAGTTGACACACACTATAATCAGTATCTAAGTACCTACACCTAGACACAGATCCTTTACATTCAAATTGTGAGTGCCAAATTAAGGTCTGGGATATCTGTTACCTGTTTTCGTAGTCTTAATACAACTAACACAGCTTGGAATATCCTCACCTTTTCCCTCCTGAAAAATAATAAAAATACTAAAGCACGTAATTAAACACATTATTCTTGTGATCCTCATCTTAATTCTTCGACCGTGTGACGGCACCTCAGCTTCCCGCTTGTGAGGGCTGCAAGGATTGTAGTACTTCTGATCCTCACTTGCCTTCACAGAGGTCCCTTCGAGATTCTCTGACTTTGAAACGTAGGCAGGTGGTCAGGCTTTATTATTGCTGTCAAAACAACTACTTGTTGGATCTCTGCAACTTTCAACCACGATTCTTCAAAAATCACCTCATACTTCTCAAGTCACGCTCAATTCGACTGGGTCATGCACTTCAACCAGATCTTGCAAGGATTCTCACGATCTGGAGTAGCTTGCCAGGAATCTGCCGCTGGTTTAACCCTAGAGTGATGAATCCACAGAGTCACTTCTGCCACATTTACAGCTGTTGGGGTAGATAAAAGAACAACATACGAAGGCTAACAGGATACACCCCAAGCTTTAACTCAATATGTATCGGTGGGATATTACGAGCAAGTCCTGGAGGATTATTCTCTGCCCATACTCCTGGAATGTCAAATAAAGATCCATCACTCTTAGGGTTTGCATTTGTTATTACAGAGTAGAAGCTCCATTCTTCTTCTTTTGGTACCAATACTACTATCATGCCTGGTGATTTATTAAACTTCAGAGACGTTGATCCATTTGGTAGAAAAGTTATCTGAGCTTGAAGCTTTGATAATAGATCTCATCCTAGAAGTTGAATTGGACACTCTGGCATATATAGGAACTGGTGATTCACAAAATGGCCTCCTAAAATGCAAGTGCGACTCCTGAGAACCGGTCTAGCAGCGCTTCTCCCAGTAGCTCCTATTACAGTTACAGTCTTTCCAGAAGGAGGAGCTACCAACTTAGTCACCACAGAATGTTCAGCACCTGTATCAATCACGAAAGGACTTCTCTTCCCCCCTATTGTTACATCGACCATAGGCTCCGCTCGGCCAAGGGGGATGGAGCCCGGTCAGTATCAATAGTCTTCCATGACAGTGTCAGCCAGACCTACAAAAATCTCTATCTTCCCTATCCTTAGGTCTCTGGGTAGGGGGATAATATCTACCTCCCCGAACACTCCCTCTGCTATTCCCATTATTCCCTCCAAAACTTCCTCTACCTCATCCTCTATAGCTACTACCATAACCACCTCGCCCTCTTCTCTCTTCTTGTCTACCACCTGCAATATATCCCCCATGTGGACAGTCACTCTTCCAATGCCCTTCCTCTCTACAACATGCACTTTGATTCCTACTTAAAGGTCCCTTACCCAGCCTATTCTCGACTCCTTTATTCACTTCCCTGTCTTTCTTCACTTGTGATAGCTACCGCTAGCATATCTGCCTTCTTCCTCATTTTACGTTCCTCCTCACGCTTTGTCTGTTTCATATACACCTTATTTGCAACCTCCACTAGCTGTGACATGGACATCCCTGCAAATCCCTCTAGTTTTTGTAGCTTTCTCTAAATATCGCTCTGGGCCTGGCTGACAAATGCTGAGTTAATCATTTGGAAGTTTTCAGGGGCTTCAGGATTGAAAGGAGTGTACAATCTATTTGACTCAAGCAGTCTCTCATAAAAAGCACATTAGCTTTTTGTAACACAGCCATCCTGGACATGTTAATTGCCTTTTTCCCTCCTGCCTTCATGCCATCAATAATGGCTTGTTGATAGGCCTTTAGATGGATCATGTCAGCGCCATTTACGTTCCAAAGGTCAGTAATAATTGCTAACAATCAGGCCAGGTGGGTTTGTATAATAGAAGTAACCAAATCTGTCATGACTTGAGGTTTGTCGGTATACGAAGAGTTATGAGTCTTCCAATTGAATAGATCGGTTGTGGTGAAGGGGACATAGACAAACACTGGATCTGCCAGTTGTATTTGGCCATTTCCATCAACGTGGGTTGGGCCCGGTGTAAGTCGGAGAGGCATCTGGCAATGTCGGGATGGAAGGGTGCCAGTCAATTGTCGGGTTAGTATGGGGCTTCGGAAAGGCTGCTCAGTAATAGGTTCCGGTCTGAGAGTAGTAAGATAGGTGGAAGGGGGTGAGCTAATTTTACTAGTCAGCATTTGGCAGATGAAAAAAAAAAGTGTTAAACCAAATACTACCAGTAGGTGTCACCAGAGGGTAAGTAATTGTATCAAAATAATCTTTATGGGTCTAATAATAAAACTTAACTTTTAAAATATTTATACATAAAATAAAACCTTATAGCAATAAATATATTAAAATAGGGTAAGCAATCCTACTTCTGTCTGTTATATGCCAATATAGAGTTAAAGATGATTAGGCAATGTAATATCAATGTAACTCCCGAAGATGGCCAGTAGGTGGCCCTAGAGTGCTTCCTAAAGTCTAATGAAGCAGATAGACTTTAATTATGTTCTTATTTTAATCACTGTTCACCCTGGTATCTAGGCTTGAGTAAAGCTTTAGTTCTATGGTAAATTAAACATCTCAGTTTGTATTTTAGAAAAGGGGATATTTTGAACAAAGCTGGGAGGGGCCAATCCAGTAACTAAAAAAGGATAAGAGTGTACTCTAGCATCTTATACCATTGATAATTTCTTTCAGTTGTATTTTAGACTGTCACTGAATGCACACAGTGTTCAGTAGTTTTAGTGCTATTTCAATGATTATGGTACAATGCCATTGCTGAGAATTATCTGATCCAATAGACTCAGTTACTGTTATTAAGAATTCTCCTCACAATTTAACTGTTAATAAAATTCAATGCTAAAATACACTCCTACCAAAAAGGAAGTCAGTTCAAATTACAAAGAACCAGTAGGGGGTTGGTACAGAAATTATTATTATTATTATTATTATGATATTTATAGAGCGCCGTCAAATTCCGCAGCGCTTTACAATGGGTGGACGAACAGACATGTAGTTGTAATCAGACAAATTGGACACACAGGAACAGAGGGGTTGAGGGCCCTGCTCAATGAGCTTACATGCCAGGGGGAGTGGGGTAAAATGACACAAAAAGGTAAGGATAGTATTAGACTAGTGGCAGCTGCAGAAGAGGAATCAGTCAGGAGCTATTAACAGTTTAAATGATACGCTTTTATGAAGAAGTGGGTTTTTAATGATTTTTTGACGGAGTGGAGACTGGGTGAGCATCTAACGGAGGAGGGACGCGAGTTCCACAGGAACGGTGCAGCCCTCGAGAAATCTTGAAGGCGAGCATCAGAGGTGGGAGTACGGACAGAAGATAGACGTAAGTCTTCAGCAGATCATAAGGGCCTAGACGGGATATACTTGTGTATAAGGGAGGATAGATAGGTGGGAGCAGCATTATGTAGAGATTTGAAAGCAAGAACCAGAATTTTAAATTGAGTTCTATATTTTATAGGAAGCCAATGTAGGGACTGACAGAAGGGTGAGGCATGGGAGGTGCGGGCGGACAGGAAGATGAGCCTCGCCACCGCATTCATTATGGACTGTAACGGCGCAAGTTGGAAGCACGTAAGACCACTGAGAAGCGGATTACAGTAGTCAAAGCAAGTGGAATGGACCAACACCTTAGTCGCATCTGGCGTTAAGTAGGGGTGGATGCCCGTAATGTTTTTGAGATGGAAATGACAGGATTTGACGATAGCTTGAACATGAGGCTTGAAGGAGAGGTCACAGTCAAAGAGATCACTTAGGCAGCGAGCCTGTGTGGTGGAGCTGATGGTAGCACCATTGACTTGGAGGGAGACAGACACAGGAGTAACAACACTTGAGGGAGGAAAGACCAGAATTTCAGTTTTGGTCAAGTTTAGTTTAAGGAAGTGGGCAGCCATCCAGTTAGAGACAGCAGAGGGGCAGTCAGAGACACTAGTCAAGAGGGATGGGAAGAGATCAGGAGAGGACAGGTAGATTTACGTGTCATCTGCATAGAAATGATATTGGAAGCCAAAGGAGTGAATGAGTTTGAAACAAAAGAACAGATAGGTATGTGGGTAGGCAGGGACAGTAGAGCAGGGGGAGTGCAAATACCAGTTTTAGCTTGGGAGGAAGAGTGGGGGAATGGCTACTCTGGCTCTGGAGAATGAATAACGGGGTTGGCAATCAGATGCAAGGGGGGGGTGTCCAAACTAGGTGAAATTAAGGCCTTAGTGGACAAACAGGTTCTGGCTACCATGGACTCCATTGTTCCTATTAGCACAGCTTGATCCATTTAGCAGTGTCTCAACAATCTGTATACAGAAACTACTCATATAGCCCCAGCATATTATTTATAACAATGTAAACCTGCTGTATTAAATCTGGATCAAGGATCCACAGGAACACTGGTTACCAGAACAGGCCATCCTCTGCTACACGGAGTATTTTAATCTTTTGGGGGACAGTGTTACTGCAAAATCACAAACAGCATATTCCTTAGAAAAAAGTTTTTTGTTTTTTTTAAAACATACAAGACAAAGGACCGTTTGTGAATCAGAAGCACCCATGATTTCAACAGAGCGTCTGATTCAAATCAGTACAAATATACAAACAGTTTCAACAGTCACACCAGTTACCTTAGTAACAGCACCACGTAGCACGGTTACTAGGCCCAAACATACACGTACACACACGCACAGGATCCTCAAACGCTCAACAATATCACGACGTCGCACACACAAAATTAAATAAAAAACCCACCAAAGACTATACACTTATCAATGTAACTATTATTCAAACCATACAATTATCCACACTATTAATCCACATAAACTAACCGATCACATCACAATTTCGTCTCTACAGTCAGTTGTTATGGTATGGTTAGTAACTATTGTACAGTTTAGACAATTATGGTTTTAAAGTTACAATATCAGTTAGTACACATGCAAGGTTAAACAGTAATTTTAGTATTTTTCACGTAATATCAGTAGTTATGGTACATGTAAGTGGTTATGGTACATGTCAGTGGTTATGGTACCATTCAGTGGTAATGGTACATGTCAGTGGTTATGGTACCTGTAAGTGGTTATGGTACCGTGCTCTATTTTACACTATACACACAATTTACACTCCCACTAGACAGCAGAGCTCAAGCTTTCTAGCAGGACATACAATTTAACCAATTCACCAGTTCACCAACTACAGTATATCTAACAATATTTACAATAATCCCAACTATTCTAATTGGCCAGCACCTTAAGAACTATATATTTACACCAGGATTCGGTTAGTCTACGCTGCCCAAGCACCACATATAGCGAACTAATGAGCGGAATTTACAACAGGATTTATTTAGTCTATTTACTCTATCAATAGTCTAGTGGTTGAATTTACACGCCTCCCACTTAGCCAAGATAGGTTGAGATCTAGCAGATGGAATGTACACCAGAATCTGCTTAATCTCCTGGTTCCCCCGACCTAGCGACCAAAATTTACACCTAGACATGCTAGTCAAGACAGGACACCGGTGTCCGACATGAACTATTTACACCAAGATTCAGTCTTACCCAAACCACCTGTATTAGACGGGCTGACTAGAGAGCGTCTAATGTCAACATAAGCGGTGCGCCCTCACTTCTTCCTTCCAGAGGGAAGGGGCAAATTCCATACAACCAAACCAATTCCAAATACAAACCCCTTGTGGGCCTACCGCTCTAACGGTATTAATCTTACCTCTTCGTTCCTGGACCTGAGCTTCACACTCATCGACGGGCACCCCGGTACTCACTGCGCAGAAGCCGATGATCTCCTGGACAAAAGACCAGTGGCGCTGAGACGAAAGGAGGTCCACGCAGAAGTTCAGGGGTGCTGCTGCCGTGGTAAACGTTTGTAAAAGTTTACCGTCTCAAATCTCTGTGCCAGCTTCCGTGCGATGAGGTTCCCTGACCCAATGCACCAAAAATGTTACCGGAGGAATAACAGGAACAAACCGCAGAAGCCACACATAGAGATATGGACACAAGTCTTCAGGAAGTAAGAGGCCTTTATTCACGTACCGATCGGGTCTCAGATGGACTAATGTTCCACAACAGATCTGAGCCCAGAACACATGGAGTACATTCCTTATATAGCAATATAGCTCCTCCCATAAATAGCTACACCCACACATACCCTTAACCAATCAATGAACAGAGTATGGACTTGCTCATCCGGTCAGACCACATGGCTAATCCGAAACAAAGGAGAAAGGAGTGTGGTTTTAGTTCCTACATTCCTGCACATGTCATTGATGACAGTATCTTAGCTACATGTAACTAACAGATACAACAAACACCTGTACTTGTATATGCCACTTTCATAGACACAAAAAAGAACCCTGCACCAGCAGACGAGGATGTTTTACATTTGTGGCCCTTACTTAGGGAGTCTTTGATATATTCTTCCATCATTCTACTCTCCTGTGGAGATAAACCATATACTGCTTCCTTGGGTGGCATAGCGCCGGGTAGCAGATTTATGGAACAATCATATGATCTGTGAGGAGGTAGAATATTGGTCTGACTTTTACTGAATACCTCCTTAACCTCCCAGTATTGTATGGGAACTACGGGGTCTGAGGCGTAGTAGTGGGTAATGTAATGAGGACCACTCTTTTGGTAATTGGTACTACACATCTCCCTGTACATTCTTTACCCCATTCCAGTATTTCTCCCTTTGCTCAGTCAACATGAGGATTATGCTTAGTGAGTCAAGGAAATCCTAATATGATGGGACAAGAAGGAGAAGCAATTATCTGGAATGTAATGTCTTCCTTGTGTAGAGCTCCAATAGAAATGTTAATAGGCAAGGTTTCATGGGTAATCAAGGGTTGAGAGAGAGGTCTCCCGTCGATAGCCTCAACAGCGAGAGGTGATGATCTCTCTTTGAAAGTTATTAACTGTTTTTTAACAAAATGTATGTCAATGAAGTTTCCTGCTTTTTTTTTTTTTTTTAGCGTTCTGATGTTAATGAGTTTGGCTATGTGAAATACTGGGGTGCTTTTGTGATTTATAGTGTCTGTAAATAGGGCTCTATGACCCTTACTTTTTAGCATTTTACAACTACTGGTAAAAGAGGGGACAAAATGAAAAACAAGCATAACCAAAGCAAAAAGTGTAAAGGTAAAGGTAAAGAGAGGGAGAAAGAGAATGGAAACCCGACAAGGAATCTATTTTCTCCAATTAATAAACGTAAAAATTCTTAGGAGTCAGTAGTAACAGCGGGGACGCAAAAAGAGCACTCAGCCTAATGACATCAGCTGAGTCCTCATTAGTAGATGAGCCAGTAGAGATGGAGAGTCAGAGAGAGGAACAGCTTACGATAGCTAACATGAAGGAAGTAATGATTGATTTGTTGAAAGATTTAAAATTGAAAGAGTTTAATTGTACAGGAAATTACAAAGGAGATTGCCTAAAATACCAAAGATCTTAATACCCTATCCAAGAAAGTATTAGAGTTGGGTACCCAACAAGACTCTCTAATAAAATCACAGAATCATTCTAATTCGGAAATACAGAAATTGAAAGAGGAAATCTCGGGCTTGAAACAGAAATATAGTAGATTGGAGAACTTCTCTAGACAAAATAATATTCGCATAAGAGGGATACCTGAAACAGTGGGGCAGGCGGAACTCCCTAATTATGTGATACAATTTTTGAATTCTCTTGTTAATCAAGAGTTTGAGAAGGCCCATATGCTAGATAGAGTCCATAGATTACCCTTATCACATAATACTTCAAGGGAACTGCCTCGAGATGTGATAGTGAAATGACATTTTTTTACAGTTAACCAAAGTATTAAGGGATAAAATTATTTCTTATAAATGTAGCTTTCCAACTAAACTACCTATTAAAAATGGAACGGAGATTAAAGTAATCAACGCCCTGCAAGAGGGGGAAAGGTTCCTCAAAGACACAGACCCTGAGGAATCCTTAAGATTTAGCTAAATGGAGAAAACAGGCTGAGTGGACAGAATTAGAGGGTCATAATTAGTATAGCGTTGTCTCAAGATGTCTATCCTGACATCAACATAGAGTTGTGTCAAGATGTCTATCCTGAGGGAGGTGTAATTTGGGTTAAGATGTAGAATACTTTGGTTATTTAGTTAGAAAGTGAAACTTTATGGATAGAATGAATCCACTTATATGTAGATAGCACTGGTGAATTGGATAAATGCTCACTTAAATTAAAAGGGTCAGTATTGGATAGGACTAAGTCACTTTATTATTAGTCTAGTACTGGTTAATATGTAAATTGTTGAGGTCAAAGTTGCACTATGTTTGAATTAAGTGTTAATGGAATGGCCCTAAAGTGCCTTTTTGGGTATAAAGTTAAAGTTATTTATTATTTAGGTGATATTATTTGTTATATTGAAAAATGCACAAAAAAGGATATTCTCACTGGACAAACATTTATGGTAATTGTGACGAGACCAATCTCTCCACTGTGCATTGGAGGAGCCTGGTTGCCTTCCTGCTGCCTTTTGACTATGAACCGGCATTTAAATACTTTATTTTCCTATGCAGAAAGGTCTATTCATGTTTTCTGCCCTGGCGTTCGGTAGATTTTCGGATTTACTGAATGAACTCCTATAACCCAGATAGCTATGCCATGGAGCCTATTCGTGTAATAAAAGACTTTGGCTCCATGGCAATTGAACTGTATGTGTGTGTGGTCTGAGCGCCATTCAGTATTAATGTGCTCTCAGACCTAAGCTATCTGGGCATATGTTGCATGTCTGTATTTTATGTCATAAATGTAACCTTGTGTATTTTATTGTATTTTACTGTCTTTTTACTGCCATGTGCTTAATGGAGTTTTGCCTCTGTCCTTGGAGATAATTGGATTACTTCCCAATTATCTCCAGGATAGAAGACTCTGTGGAACTGGTTTTGGGCAGAAAAGCCATGCTTCCTTTGGTCACAAAGGACTACAATCTATCTTTTGAACCACTGGGCCAATTTGTATGATTTTGACGTATGTTTGTATTTGGAGTATGCTGATTGTGAAAATGTAAGTATAAGTTTATGTGAATGTGATGAATACTTTTAAAGTTATGAATAATGTGGAAAAACTGTATTTCTCTGCCTGTGATAATTGCATTACCCATTGTGTAAGGTAATTGTATCACAGGCAGAGGGGAGGATTTTGTATGGGAATGTCTGAGTGTATTGTACATGTTTATTGGTTGTTTTCCAAAACCCTGTGGGTGGTACTAATGTGTATATAAGAACAATAAACCCACAGCTCTGTCTGTTCCTGCTTGACCCTCAAAACAGAGCCTTGTCTCGTTCTTGGGGGGATTTATTGTATGCTGTTCCAGTTCGACTGCTAGGAGTGTAAACCTATTTGTATGGTTTTTCCTATTCGGCTGTTTACGGCATTCATATGGTTTCCCGTTCGGCTGATTGGTGTTCTGCAGTAGCTGTGCCTGTATATCTGGTAGGGGAATAACTCCTAAACGGCTGTTAACCCCTTTTATGCCTGGGGGTGCCGTTACAATTGGTGGTAGCGGTGGGATCGTTCCCACAGCCAGAAGGACAGCTACAGGAGACACCATTCCGTGGATTTACAAGTTGGGGGCAACGCATGTCCCAGTACAGCAACCCTAAAAGCAACAGAATGGAACCAGCAGTGTTGTATGAGGAGGAGGACCTGGATGGCCGGGATGCATTAAGGAAAGGCATCTGGTACCAGGCCCTGGATAATGTACAATACCAGCGGGGTGAGAGTCTCCCCAGTGAAGAGCAGCGGTTGCAGAAGCAAGTGGCCCTGTGGATGCCCTTCCTGAGAGTGCAGCCCCTGGAGGAATGGGTGAATGAACTAGAGCACCGGGTATGGCAGGAGCTATGGCTGGAGGATGCCTACCAGGCTCTCTGGTGGTATATGGCACAGTATATACCCTGGACAGCCGAGCATGACAAGCCAGAGGGTGAGAAGTTTGATGTTCCAGGCTTGTTATGGGAGTCCTTTGCAGAGCCTGACTTTGGGAGCCCTGCGCAGACCAGACTTCAGGACATTTTCTAAGAGAGGGAGGCTAGACATGACTGGGATGACAAAAAACAGAAATGATAGGTCGCGCTTCAACAAATAAATATAATATATTAGCATACACTA